GAGTCGCAAAAACGCAAAGGAAAAGAAGTCTTTATATTGTGTGTCTTCAACGAAAACCATACAAAAACCGTTTCCTGCAAGTGTGGAGAATATAACAATAGTCAACAATATAATCAAGTCAAGATTAAACTGATCGATTGAAATGCCGTAGAAAAAATAAATACCGCAAACTCCAATATCTCCTTCTGATACGTCATCCTATTGATCATCAATTCTGCTTAGTAAGTGAAAATTGCACTTGCCTTATTTATGCCCATGGCACGCAGATACTTTACGTTTGACCTGGGCCTTTATTTGTTGGTATTTTTAGGGAGACTTGAGAGGTCGCTAAATTATGTCCAGCATTGTTTTGAAGTCAACTTGGGCTTTTAAACCAGCCTGCTGCGATCAGCGTATACCCAAATTAAACGTGGTTATTTAGTTTTATATACTGACTGTAAGGAAAATGTGTCAAATGCAACGCAATGGTTTGGGGTTTTTCGTAAAACTTCTGTTTCTATGTTTCTGTTTCTTCAACCAAAACGATTTCATATGCGGCCGAGTGTTGACAAGAGAATATATCACAATCTCTTGGTGTTGATCAGTGTTTTCACATATCGAACCTTTGGAAATTCTGTCCGCAATTAAAAAGGTTGATTATCCGTTGAAAAACAAACCAACAAACAAACACCTTGCTTGTGAAGATATCGTGTTTAGCTTCTCGTGTATTGATCTTCAGAAGACTGTCGCTGTCGAATATATATCATAAACCTTCGATACAATCTTTATTTGCTGACACCACAAAAAAAAAACAAGAAAAAAACAAAAACAAAAACAAAACAAAACATAAAAAGCACTTTCCATCAGTCATTACAAGCCTAGCACTGACGCAATTAGTAGTTCAAGTTCAAGTTTCTAAGCCACGTTACAGTGCGGAACCGTTGGTCCGTTTTCACAACAAAAATTCTCTCGCGGCAGACATGCACGTGCAAATATATCGATGTCTTAATGAAGCGAATAAAAGTGAAAAAGAAAAACCGTTCGAATTCCATTGCTTCTAAATTCATAATCTGTTATTTACCATAGAAACGCTGGATGTCGCTTGTCTTCTTGTATGTCCGTGGGCACGTATAGTTGCGGGTGAAATAATTATTCAAATAAACTATTTTTCGGTCTCAGACCCGGTTTGAGCGAAGTTTGAGCAAATTATTCCATCTGATTACGTAGGAGGATGTCAAACCGGAAGAAAATAAAGCATTCAAAACAAGCAGACTGTGCAAACATTGCTTATATATCATGGCTAAGCTTTCATCTTTAGGTGTTTACCTCCTAATTTGCTGGTTTTACGAAGGTAAGCTAAACAAAATTCTCTTGATAGTAGTCGCAAGCTGGTGCAGAATTCAAAACTATTTCAAAACAAACGGACAGTAGAATTGAGGCCCACTAAAAACCACCTTGTCAACTTCAAAACAAATCAGTTTTACAAGTAGACGCATAATTGTGAGTAATTTTTGTGATTTTTCCGGCTTATTGTGTTGTGCTACAATTTAATTTCAAATGATACAGCTCAAAGTGAAATCGATACGGTCCTCTTTAATCCTTAATCTTTAATCATTATTTATACACGGTAAAAAAACTCATCAGGTACGATAAATTCCAATAAAATGTCTAAGATCCTAAGCCTAAAATCCTAATCCTAATATTATATTAACGTACAACAGTATTCTACTTATAAATCTGATTTCCATGAATGCCGTGTGTTTGAAAATGATGATACAGGGTGAGCTGTTCCGAAAGATTGCGCCGCTGTAACTAAGCTTCCCTCTTGGGAAACTTAAGATATAACTAACACCAAAGCAACATAGCTATGCGACTTAGAGGTAATTCATTATTCAGTAATAAACATCAAAGAGCTTTAGAAGTGTGATAAACTCGGTATAATCTTAAAACGTTTGTATTTCCTAAGAACATTAAAAAAGTATCGTGACACACTTCGATTAATCCGCTAGCTTTGATGAACAAAGTTTGACGGAATTACTTCGCAGTTCTCTCCACAAACAAACCAATACGACCCGGCGTTGACATTCCATAGGAGAACAAGTAATTTGCCTACGTTTTGGACGTGAACAAAATAAATAAATTACAAATGTTTTTCTCAAGTTATTTTATCCCAAATGGAATGTGAATTGACCTTCAGGAGGCCGTCATCAGAGAATGATGTTTATTTGTTGACGCCAAGGGAAAATTCGAAAACATGGCAATCCCAGCGCTGGAGTTAACCGCTACTATTAAGGAGGCACTTGACCAAAAATGCATGGAATACTCATCACGTATAAGTTAGTTTGTTTACTCTGCGGCTTGATATAGAATTATAATCTACATGTATCAAGAGCTAACTAAAATTCGAGTTTGCAAGTTCGTCCATAGCTCGATAAAAAGACAACCTGATTCGGCATTTGTATTAAGCGTCAGAAAGTTTTGCGAAACCCAATTCTTTTGCGTGCTCTGACCCACTTCATCTGGGATTATGCAACTTGACAACTCACCCGTAAATCAATAATTATAACTGTGCAATATTGGCCAATTAACAAGTTGTAAGTTTAAAACTTGTTTAGTCAAAGCTTCCTTAAAAGGGATGACCTAGCTGATGTGGCATGATGTGGCGTGAAAATTATCATACCACCTATCCGTTGCTGCTTGACAGATATAAGTACTCTCTTGTATATGGTCGGACACCGAATCTGCTTTTGTAGTATTCAAATCGGTTTCTTCACTAACGCAAATAATTGACCTCTTCACTGACGTAAAAGGAAATCACTCGGATGTGTTAACAGTTCTTACTGAGCAGCAGACAATGTTAAGGAATTCATACGGCAGGATGGGAGTAAAATCCAAGAAGAGACTTAATTATTTGCCTTGCAATCTGTTAATTGGCTTTAAAAAGGCAAGAAAGACAAGATTTCCGTTTTTATACTAAATGCTGGAAGGCATAATATTTTTATTTTTGTAGAAAAAAGGAAATATATAAAGAGGACAAGACAACTTTTAATTTCATATATATGTGAGTTAGCTGAACGATGTCTAAATAGCCAAAGAAGACACACAGCATAACCAGTTTGTCTACTGATGTTAACTGTCGACCGACTCAACATAAAATTAACTCAGTTCGTGTTCAATTCCGAATAATTGTCATTTTTTGGTTAATTACAGGAAAAATCAGTCTAGTGCAACGTAATTTTACAAGCCGAACTGCAAGGACGACCTTTGATCACTTGAAATCATGCATTTTCTTTCTTTCTTTTTTTTTTTCGAGTTATGCTGAGTGAAATAAGACTCGGAATTTCACAAAACTGACTTCCCTTAACGTTCAAGTGCCCTTTTCTTCGAAAGTGACCAACCTCTAGTACTAACGGCTTTTATAATATGCTCAACAAAATTTTAAGTGTTTGATTGGTCAATAATGAGTGCATAAATAGATTATAAAGTGCAAATGGAGGTTATAGAGTGCAATATGGAAGTTGCTATGGAAACTATAGGGGAAGTGCGAAATTTAAAAACAAAAAGCAAAATGGCTGAAAGCCGGTTTGCTTCGTCCGACGAAATAGTTGTTGAC